CCTAATATATAATAATAATAATAATAATAATAATAATAATAGTTTATTGTCAAAACAATATTTTACATACATAAATATTAACAATAATTAAAAGTAAATCAATTTTGACGCCGCCCCAAAAGCATAGCTTGTGGTGGGTACAGCTAGTTCAATACAAAACTAACATATTACCATTTGTTTATAATATACATATAATACTTCTATTTTAAATACATAATTATAATAAGCAAAATATAAACATATTTCATATAGATAAATATAATAGAAAAAATAATTTCAAGTTTTTGTTTATAATATAATATGATTTAGATTTAAATGTTTTAAATATTTTTTATAATGATACTTATTTTTATATGATTTTAAATTAATATTAAGCATAATACATAAACGAACATCGACATTAATAACCATTTTTCTACCAAATTCTTTATGGGTTACTGGCATATTCAGATTTACTGATTTTTTAAGACGTGTTTGATATCTGTGTGACGGATAATTATTTTTTAAATCTGAATTAAAAATATAATTAAGGATATTCCATATATATAAGCCATTGAGATTTCTTACATTAAATGTATTGTAAAGGCCGTCTACATGAAAATCATACGGTTTCAATAGTATAAATCTTAACAGTGAGTTTAATGTAATAATAAGTGGATTTAAAGCAAACTTGGATGCATTTCGCCAAATAACAATGCCATAGCTAATAATAGATTGTACAAGTGCTAAATAAACTGTACGCAAGGTTTTGATGTTGAGGATATTTTTTAACAATTTAAATTTATAAAACAATTTTCGTATAGTACTAACTATATACATGGATACTACGATTTTGATTTCATTTGGGATCTTTTCTGTATAGGTATATAGGTACTTATACGGATATCACGTTTTCTTAATATATATATAATATATATCATCACATCCCGTCGCATATATATAATATAAATCACCGATAATGGCCACGAGACGACAGCAGCTGATGCCATTAAACGGATTTTTAAACGGATTCACTACTGACATGTTCATCCGACCGCGGATTTCATACCATTGACATCGACAACAATAATAATAATAATAAAAAAAAAAAAAAAAAATAAAAACAATAAATAAAGTAAAATAATTGACGCGTACCGTGCACAAAAAGAAAAGAACAAAAGTGGTTCAACGCATTTCCGGGGTTTCCAACCGAATTAACGACATCTCCGAACGATTCAACATAATACACGATTAATATAGTGTAATAATATTGTTATTTATTCATTCGTTCATTTCAGTTGGTTTTTCATTTTTATCCTACAGCCGAAATGCGTATAACACTCTCAGTCCGCAGATCTGTCAACGCCGCACCGACGGATTTCAATAATAGTTGTCTTATAAATTGTGATTACCTCGCATGCTCATAAATTAATATGTACCTACTTGTGTAATATATATCTTATTAAAAACTTCGTGTTCCCCGCGCGTGCGGATCCTTATAAAAATAATGTTTAAGCACTAGCGAATGGGGCGTGAATGGGCCCACAGTATCTACTGCAGTTGTATCAATCAGCATATTATATCTATACATATTTTTTAAACGAAATATTGTTTTACCTTAATGATAATTGAACGGGTTTTTTTCCAACGCGTAAACGGTTAATCGTACCATAAACGAATTATAGCCAATATCTTAGATTTATCTGAGTCCATAAACTTAATATATACTCGTATATTTTCTTTTTTTACGAACACGACGTGTAATAGTGTGTGCATGCAGTATATCCGATGTATCTACCAAGACTAGCTTGTACGTATTTCAAATGGGTACAAAAAGAGTGGTTTAAGCTTAATACGCATATATTTCAATATAATGTAAGTAGTAGTACAGTCGTTACAGAAAATAAGTGAAATTTATACGTCATTATATTACTTTACAATAAATGTATCAATTTCAAAGCCTTATTTTATCAAAAAATACATACATTATGTTATTGTATACATACAGACAACTCTCAGTCCGATATACTAATTTATAAAGTATATGCATATAATGCACGCTTTTCAAAATATATAAAAACAAGTTCACCTATTTTTTTCGATATAATTTAGTTGCTCGTATCTTCCCAGAGAAATAATCGTTTTTGGTTCTAAACCGTGTAAATGAAGGTCAACAAAAACGTCATTGAATCAAAGATGTTACGTTTTAAATATTTAACATGAATAATGCGCATTGATGCTGTATTAAAATAATACAGTTTATATCAATTGGAATAGATTTTTTTGTAGTAATATGTACCCGAGTTATACCTGTCAACAAAATAAATAATAGAAATTGAGATTTAAGTACAAATTTGTTTTCACAAAACCGCTATGTACATAACAATGGACAGCAGTTAATAAATAAATGGTGTATTTGTGTTCATGGACAAAATATACAACAAGTATGCTACGTTTACAAACGGGATGGGTGTACATTGTTGTACAAAAGTATTATTATTTAAAAAACATAATGAATAATTATTTTACCGTTAAGTTTTTCGGTTAAACGTGAAAAGATGAAAATATAGTTAGGTTGTTAAGAAATTGCATTTGTCATTCGTACGATTGTCATTCTTGGAAAATAGAATCATAATAGCGTTACATTAATAATATAAAATTTGTTTTAAAACTTTAACTTCAGAATTGTTTTACTGTGCGTAATAGTGATTTGTTCAAATCAAAGGAGGAGAAAATATGCTAAAACAATTAATACATTTAAATTAGTATTCTTCGTCGATTAATTAAAATCACGGACCGAAACGAACGCGCTGCAACAAGATGAAGTCTGAGAAAATTAAAAGGCTTGCGTGTTGCTCTCAAATCGCAAAAGTCGAATTCTACTCCCGCGACGTAGATAAATTTCGTAGTCGCCGCGTATTGATGTGCGTCATATGTTATTTCGACTCAAATACTAGAGTACTACTTGTCACATGTCGCTCACGCAATACAGTCATTCCGGTACTGACGGGGAAAAAAAAAAAATCTCCGTCCGTGAACACAATTCGTGTACGCATAAACATACGAATACGATCCGGTGAACAGTTTTCGGTTCCGAACCGCGGGTGAATTCCGGTACAGTACGGCGGACCGGATATCCTTATACGCGATGCGCCGCTTATACAAACACGAAGACGCTGCAGCACAGGGGGATCGAATCTAGAGCAAACGACCGTGACAGAAAGGTCAGTAATTCAGTAGGTACGCGAGCACGCATTTCAGTGCACGCGGACGCACAACACGCGTTGAATACCATCACTGCATGGTCAGGTTGTCGACCATGTTGCTATCGGAAGAGCGTATAATAATAATAATAAAAATAATAATATACGGTCCCGTGTACACACGTACGCCGCGTTTCAAAAACGAATACACACAAGAAAGCGCGAATTTTCAGACCGTGTAAAAGAAGAACGAAAAAATAAAAAAATTACGACCGATCCGAATATATAAATATAATAAATATATGTATATGTATATATATTATAATAGGATATAAATAATATATAGGTCCGATGAGTTTTCAAACACTGCATTACCATTTTTTTTTTTTATTTCCGAGGCCCCACTCGTAAACACGTGATACTTTTTTCGATTGCTTTCCGTTCCGACTAAACCCGAGCCCTGTCATAAATGTACGCGCGTAATGCAATGTATCATTGTTATATTTTATAAGACTTTGATGGTGTTCACCGGGTCTGCCCTTTATGCATGCGCGTGCGCCTCGCTTGCACATTTACACTTACCGAATGTCGTTTCACGTGTTTGTCATCTTTGGACAGCTGGCGCCGACGTTATTCATACGATATAATATACGTACACACACACATATATATATATATGAATAAATATTATACACATATTATGTGTATCGAGTTAATGCGGTTACCTGCGAACGGAAACCGACCAACGTGTCACACCGCAGCCGTGGCCGTTCAACCGTAAACCAAAGATATTTAAAAAAAACCCTTGGCGAGACGTAGTTTGGTGTCGACGAACAAGTCACTATGGTAGTCTGGAAAATATCTATAAGGTTCGCGTTGATTTCAACTCGGAACTGCAGCAGGTACCTATACAGTATTAAAACAAGTCATAAATTGCCTAGCACAATTAGTGGATTAGTATGTACCTCGTATCGAATACGACAGTATTTTAATTCAAAATTTTCTAATGAAAACAGAATGTTTTCACTCGTAGAGTACCATATTTACGTATGATTTGAAATTATATAAATTGAAATTTTCGCGCAATATATTTATTGTTTTGTTTCTAATGACTAATTATTACTATGCTTTAAAAAGCGTGCTAAGCATTTAAGAGTTATTCGTTCGGGTTTGTAGCCGAGTAAATTATATACTATCTTATACTAATCACGTGTATAATGTGGCTAAATATTTAACACGCGTAGTGCATTGTTTATCCAAATTACGGAATAGGTTTATAATAATAGTATAATATTATACTGTTTAACAGGTACCGCACGAACTGTTCGCGTTGGTACGTTAATACCGTTTGCACTGTTTATATATGCGTTTCCAGCTCGATTTTTCTAATACCATTGAAATCGCTTCGTCGACGGAAAAAAATTAAAACATACAACAACGATAACAGGATTTAGAGAAAACATTCTTAACGATAATATTATATTCGTATGTACGTGTTTTTTATAGCGCGTACATAAGTGTAACTGGCGCGTAAAACAATATACGAAAACGGCAAGCTATGTTCACATGTTTCTCCTGTTCGTATTTAATTTAAATAACGACGGATCGAAACGAGGCCGTAAAACAATATTTAATCATATATTATACGATTATAATGAATAATACGACGACCGTTGTCTGCGTGCAGAATGCGCGTACGCACGATGCCGCTCGAAGACTTGACGTCGTCTCGTAGGCGTCGTAAACACGGTGAATGAAGTAATGGACCAGGAAGGACGAACAGGTAGGGCGCTCCTCCGTTCACGAGCGTACCTGTTTGTGCTCGAAACCGCCGCAGTAACGAGCTTCACGCTAATATCGCCGGTCGATCGCGGCGCACAAGTCTCTCGCGGTCGCGTCCACGTACAGTAAACATTCGTATTCCCTTCTCTCCTCGTTTTCCAAAACGTAAAAAACAAAATCGACGTCGTGTGTGTGTGTGTGTGTTTGTTCAAATAATGATATTGCGGTACGAACGTGTCCGATTCGTGTCCGTGCAACAGCTCGCATAGTTTCGGCCGACAATTTGTTTACAAGATCAAAAAAAAAAAAAAAAAAAAACCGAAAACAAAAATGACGTAAGTTTGACACGAACCGTGATAAGTATATATACGTGTAGCAATAGTTAGTAACAATTAACCTATAGACAATAGATTATAATAGAACGTTTTGAAAAATAAAAATAAAAATAAACACAATTCGAATGGAATGAAACGAAAAAAAAAAACTAATAAAAAAAAAAACCACTGGAATAGGTTTCGGTGTGTGTATGTGTTTTTAAAAGAAGGCCAAATTAAGGTTAAATCATACATATTATTATCATTATACATGTACGATACGTCTACGTATATGCGTTCGCATACCGATTATGGTAGTCCAAGGACGCATGTGTATATTTCGCGATATATAGAACGGTCGAGCGTATATTTATTTACCTATCTAACCGGCGACTGTGCCACAGTAACAATAATAATATTTGTATACGAACATCGTTGTACAGCTGCGGTGTCCGTGCGGTAAATGTACATGTACGTATGCAATTGCATTTCAATTGCACTACGTTCTCGTATTACCATCCTATTAATTACCTCGTCTTCGTTATTTTTGACGACCGTTTTCGGACACGGTGAGATTTTCGTCGGGATTATATAATTGTTCGTTAATCTTGTATTCGATTTAATTTCTCTCCGTCGCGTCAATGATGTGTTAATAATAAAAACCGTTGTGAACACACCGTCACGTGCACACAACACTAACAACATTATGTCTTCCGTCGCGAATAACGTAAGTCGTTTCTCGATCGACCGTTTACATAATAACGATTTTTTTTTTCCATCAACGCGTTCCACGAGCGCGAGTGAATTCGCGCGCTAATCACCCGTGTGGTGCGCATGCTTTCACGTGACTTCACTTCCACGTACGCCTGCCGATAGACCGGTCGTCGGTATTGATGCCGTAATACCGTCAACGGACGTTATTATTATTATTATTTCATAGTTACACGTGTGCCTCTACACATATTCAACCGTACCGAGTCGCGTCCTCCGCAAAACGACGTGTGACGAAATATTATCGTTTTTCAAATCGTAATGCAAATTGCATGGCCGATTCAAAGTTTCTGTAAACGATTCTCGGCGATTCATCAAACCGTTTTTGGTGTTCTACGTACGCCTACCCGTAAACTCGTGCACGTCAAACCGTTACGGTGACGTTTGTAATATGTTTCGTTACGTTTCAATATGAGACTACACGTACCAGTAGATTTACCCGGCCTCGCCGTAGAGATTTTTTACTATCGGAGCTATTACACTGTTTCGATACAAAAATAGATAAATACAATTACATTAAAAAAAGCGCACGATTATTTTTAATATATTTTTACTACATTCATTTATATATACCTCGATCGAAATCAATATATCAACGAAATAAAATATTTCCTGAGTTACCAAAAAGTAAAAAAAAAAATGTATAAATCCAGCCCATATCCTAAAACGATTTTGACCTTTAAGATTGTGATTTTTGATAAATCCTTTATCGTTGCACCTGTAAAAAAGAATAAGTAGGTACATCCCCTGAACATTGCAAATAAATCGATATGGTAATTTTTAATGTACGCCAATCATTGAATGGTGTTTTAATTTTATATGCATTCAAACAACTTTGATTTTATATTGTTTCAGACTATACAATGTTTATATAATTTAGAATATATTTGTTCGAGATAAGTATTCTCCGTTGAGTGAATTCGTTTCACGTCAAATTAAATCCAACTAATAACGTAGTCGATGCTAATTATTTTTTCGAGGCTTCAAAAATTATGTGTAAAATAAAAAAAATATAACAATATTATTATTATGATTATAATAATTTGTATTTACAAATAAGACGTATCCGCTATAATTAATTATGTATATTTAAGATTTATGATTTCATCCATAAACAACGTTGCAATTTCGAATCTTTCACCAAAACGTTTTTCCTTTGTCTTAGAAAGCATTTAACTAATTACACAATAATTTATAAATTAAAATTCTGCTCGAAAGATCTCGGTTTTTGTCTTAATTTGAACGTATAGAATTTTAATTTATATTCACATCTAACCAAACAAGCTAATTTTTATTATTGTTTTTTAATTATAATTTTAAGTAAACTATACTTTTGTAAGAATCTTGTGCATTGCGTAAATTGCATTTATAATGTGAATGCTGCTGCAACTAACACAAAGGAATTATTGAAGGCACATACTTTCGTCCAACGATTTTTTTAAACAAGATAAAATTGTTAACATTTCCCACAGACAAGCAATTTTAATGTGTTATTAAATATCTGAATTGTACAAGAATACGCGGCGTCGTGTGATTACCTAAAGCGACTATAAACAAATCAGAACACCAACGATCGCGAGTCTCATATATATATATATATATAATATACTCGTGTCGTCCAAGTATATATAAGGGAGGAGATCTTTCTCTCTCAAAAAAAAAAAAAAAAAATACTTCATTGAACCGTGATTTTTTTCTTTGTCTTCATAGTCCAATAATTTGTCAGTCGTTACGTATATATACTTCATCTCTTTTTCTTTGTTTATTTCTCGTAGTATATATCGTTTATAATTGTATAGACGAGACGATATGGACCGATCTTTGACATGGCAACTTTGGAATTCCTCGTTTCCGTCGGTACACATACACATAGTTACTCACATACACGCACTTATAGGCCTCCCGCGGAGCTCGAGCTAATCGTTCCCGGTAACTAACCTGTACACGTTATAATAGTACAGGATCGTTGAAGTGGTCGACGACGGCGAAGTACAGGTGTTTACGATAGTGTTATCTTGTCTTGTGCGCGCGACAACGTGGCCTCGAGTGCTTCCAACGTCTGTTGAACAAACGTATTACAGAATATCCCGACGTAGAACGCGATGTTGTAGGGATCATCGGGAACGAGTCGAAAAAAAATACCATTTGTGGACGTGACGCGCTCAGTATGCCCATGTGGTATACGACGTTAATTTTTTAATTATTTAACGTTATTAATATTTCGTGCAGCGTACCTCGAGCGTATTAGTATTCGAGTTCCTACGGTCCACAATGGAAGGAATAAGCATCCTGGCCGATCAAAAGTTTTAACACGTTTTGTAATAATATTACATTTAAAACGGGCAGAATCTTGTTCGATAAAATGTTCATTAATTACCTACAACATACGAGTTTTGTTCATTTCTGGTATCATAATCATGTCATATTTTATTATTGTTTTAACCATATATTTATTTATATTTTATTACCGTTTATGTCATACTTGTAAAAGCTGATTGGCTTATGCATCTATAAATAAATATGATGTCATTGTATAGTGTATTTGTGTAAGTATTATTATTACACACATCTGTTGCTGCTCGTTTTGACCAGACGCAAAATTTGGTGTTTGACAAGTGATTAGGTTCCCACACAAAACATAGCAGGTGAACGGTTACATGTTTTGCATGTTCCTACACGAACAAAAATATACCGGTATGTGAGTTCCTCCATTATAAAAAAAATATATAAATATACATTTTTCTGCGAAGTGATAAAATTTAATGCATTGTATTTTCTGTACTTTACAATCGGTACTATAGCTATTAGCGAGCGCCCCTGATTTCTAGACTCATCTCTATTACCTATGAAAATATAGGATATCAATGAAATTTCTTACGTGTTATAAATCATTAGTCCTAAGTTTTAACAAAATGGGAGGAAATTCTTATTCCTCTTCACTTTTATTCGCATAAGAATTTCCATGTTAAAGGTGTATTTTTTCGTGTAAGAACTTATGTATACTTTTAACGTATTACTATTACGTATACTTACCCTTGTATGGGAACTTACACTCACCTCACGTGGTGCGGAGAGATGTCAACAGCGTTGTAACCTGTTGACAAATTTATTCATCATATACTTGCAGTGGTGCCGAACCTTTTTTATATCATTGGAGTAAACTCTACTTATGGGTACCCATCCACTCACCAAAAAATCATAATTAAATAGCAAGTATTGTATACCTGTGAACTACGAGTATTTACTCTCTTGTAATTATATAATATTACAGAATATTTTATCATACAAAAATAACAAAATATATCCAGCACTCATTAAATCTCCCACCCACCACCTAAAAAAGTTCTAGGGTATTTACACAACTTGCGATATGTGTTCGACGCCACTGTATACTCGTATACTACGTATACATAAGTATAAGATGACTCTCACGGTCGATGTGCGGTCATGAGAAAAATGTGTTATACACGACGACGTGTATTCCTTTTGTCCGGTAATTTGCACCGCTCGTCTAAAATAATATTTTAACTAACGTGACTGTAATGGATTTGAAAATCGATTTTTCTATACGCACGTGTTGCAAGCCCAATACCTGCAAACACACATACACGTCGTCTGTGATACGAATCCGCGCACGCCACTTACCCATACGTAAAATATATAATAATAATTAATAATATAATCATTTTTTTTTTCGATCGCGCACACTGCCGTGCATAACAACGCGTATGCTTGCTAAGCCCCAACGCGGTGCCGCAGTCACGAATTTCATTTCTAAACGATTCGTTTTATGTTAATGGCACAGTATACACGTGGTTATCGGTAAAGACAGGTTAGAGGGTATACAAAGTACAGGGTAGCTCTCGCATTCCAAAGTCGTTTTACGTGTATTTTATCCGATCGATCACGATCACAATCTAATAAGACGGCTTAAACGTCGGGCCCCATACGTTTTTAATGTAGTCCATAAGTCCCCCGACGAACACTTGGGCAACGCGTATAAAAAATTCTTCTAGTTTCAAAATAGTTTTATTAAACGTTTACTTTTTTTTTCTTTTTTCCATTTAATTTCATGTGTCGATTTTATACATAATAACAAACAAGAAACACATACATAAACGATCAAAGAAACTGCATTCATGATTTAGTAACCTAATTTAATCGCATATACAGTGGTCACGAATAATAATTGAAATCTTATGTACTCACTCGATTCTCATAGTTGTCCATTTGCCAATACATTTTTAGCA